CCACGTGCATCATTTGTTGTAGCCTCGCCACTGCAATAATTCCTACAGAATGGGCACGCTCGACTGAGTACCTTGCGCCTTTCTCCGCCAGAGAACATTATCTCCGGCTCGATAACGACGACGTCTTTTGCCCCTTCGACTACCCTTTCCCCACCAGCAAGGACGGCTCAGAAGAGCACATGTTTCTCAGCGTCGAAGCAGAGGATTCGAAAACCAACATCATTGTCCCTCTGCCGCCCGACCGCGCTCGATCGGCCGAGTGACATCACGCGATATATAGACCTCGATCCCCGACTCTCCAACTCTCCGACCCGCCCACCTCGACGACCTCTCTCTCCCCCGCATAAAGCCGACAAGCAGCATGGCTGCGTCGTCGCCCGAAGCGTCCCTCTTTGTAGGCAGCGACGAGTACGACCTATCACCCTACAACGGGCATGTGTCACTAGACGGCCTGGACAGTGATGAAGACATACAAATCATGGCGGACGCAGGCGATTCGCCCGCTGCGTTTCCTCCCATGTTCCTCGACCACATGTTTCGCGACGACAATGATCCCGACTTTGAGCCAGAACCTCTGAGCGACGACATGGAGTCTTCCGACATACACTCGCTCTCCCCCTCCAACCACTCCTACCGATCGGTTGCCGAGGGCAGTCTTCCTCCTTCCAGCTCAGGACCAGAAGCACTGGACCTACAGAACCGACGCGCCGACCCCCGAGATGTGGCATTAGCACGCGATGTGGCTTTGGGTGTCTTTGGGGACGACCTGGACTGGATGGGCGAGCTCGACTCCGCCTTTGACTTTGCCGAGATTGAGGGCCTAGAGGCTGAGCTCGAGGCACAGAACCCTCATATCCGGCAACCACTCCACGCGTCCCAAGGGGCAACAAGCCAAGGCAACGGCGCCGACCAGGGCGGCAGGGCAGTGGGGAATCTTCTTCGACTGTTAGAAAATGACGATGGAAGAGCAAGCGACGCAAGCGGTGCGAGAAGGCTCGTGCCGGGACCGCCCAACCGGAATGCTGCACGACGACCTTTCTCCCCTGTTCATCTGCTTAGTTCTGAGGGTGACGAGTACCCTGGGCGCGACAGTTTTCGCTCGCGCCACGCTCGCGATGTTCTCGTTGATGTGGAACTGGACGCAGGACATCACGTTCCTCTCTCGCTTCAGCGACAAGAATCCCGGCAGTCTGGTGCTGCTGAAGTCATCGACCTCACAAATGAGCCCGACAGCCCGATACAGGCGCACGCCCGGCCTGTCTCTCAAAACGTTCGCCGCCAAAACTCTCAAGCCCGCAACCCACCCGCTTTTGCTCGCAGCGACAGCAGCATTCTCGGCGGTCCGCCAGTCATAGATCTTACAGACGATGCGCCCGACCGTCCTTTACCACCCTTATTGCCGGGTACACGCTGGCCCCAGGCGCCGCGCCGGGCTGTTCATTCCCCAGAGCTCCTGTTCCTCAACCAGCGCCCGATTCCGAGGCAGCAGCAGCCAAACCGCCGGGAAGGCGTGCAGTCGCGAGCCCGTTCCCGTCAGGCCAACATGCTCAACGGGTTGCGACGTAACTTCTTGCATCATTTGCCGTTTCTCAACCTCTTCAACCCCGACCCGGCGGACGGCAACCTCGACATGGTGGAGGGTATGATGGGCAATCCCTTCAACCCCGTTGGCCACATCCAACTTCAGTATCAGCGCAGCGCCTTTGACCAGCGTCCTCCATCACCCAAACCTGTTCACGTTCCACCCCCTGCAGCACGTTCTGGCTTTTCTCGAGATACCAAGGCCGACAATAGCTCGGCATTTGTCTGTCCTGCATGCAACGAAGAGCTAGCCTACGACCCCCTCGAGGCGCCTTCTGCTCCTGCACCTCAGGCGTCTCGCAATACCCGGCTCGGCAAGCGGCCCCGAAGTGAGCATCACTTCTGGGCGCTTAAGGGCTGTGGCCATGTACGTTCATACTACTTTGTCGTGACCGATTCATTTGCTAATGTGACACAAAGGTTTACTGCGAGGACTGCTACGAGAACCGGAAGCCCACGAACAAGAGACCCAACACGGGATTCCTCCATGCCGGGCGAGATCACAAACTGTCGTGCGCTGTCGAAGGTTGCGACACGCAAGTCACCAATAAGGGATCATGGGTTGGCATTTATCTGTAGCCTACGATGCATGGTAAAAACGCCTATCGAGGGAATGAGCAGAAGAGTCGGCGAGAGAGAATCACTGTGTGGACGACTGCTTTGTACCGCGGGTTATGATGCCTTTTGTCAACAGGCTGGACAACGCACCCAGTCTAACAGGCATTGGAGGGATTTATGAGGCGCCCCGGAATGGGACTGGACATGAGGGTTCACGGTTATGCATGGAATGGCGTTTCTAGACATGGCCCTATTCGGCCGGGCTAGGGAGGCAGCGTTGGCTTGGCTTTTTCAAGTTCATGTGTCGTGCGCCTTGTGTCAAAGGCTAGGACGATTTGAATTATGTTATCCCGTTTTTCAACACCTTGAGAGTGCGCCCGCGGTTAAGTGCATGTCGCATACTTGTATACGAACACAAGTGGACGAACATGATGGGTTACCTTGCTAAGGTGGTAGATGAAAAGAGTTGCGCACCGTACCACAACACCCTGGCGAAGATTCAAGGTAAGTCTGCCGTATTGGCGGCAGACCAACAGACGCCTTGGTGATTGATTCGGAAAACGAAAACAAATGGGTATCAATTCTCTAACTCCCAGAATCCATCAAAATGTCGTAGCAACGCCCATCAATGCTCTTCTTTCCTTCTCCCAACAAATATCTCCCAAGCGCTCAGCCGTTGTCCATATCGGCCGAAGTATGTTCACCTCTGTCTTGAGACAGGGTTTCCCCCAATCAGCTCATCACGAGTCTCCGATCTCGCCACAGCGCCTGTTTCCCAGTATCCATAACAAAAGCGACCCACGGGCCCTCAGCAAAAGCAACAGCTACCCCCCTCTTCGCCCCTGTCGTTCACATGATGCAGAGCGCACAGTCCTTTGGAGCCTGAGCTTCACACAGCCAAGTTGCCCCAGTCTTCATCCGCAAAGACGGCCCGCAGGTCTTGGGATGAGATTGCATCCCAAAGATCCTGGGGCTCGTCGAGTTCGGGGCGCGGCTTGTGCGGCTCTGCCTCCTGCTCCTGCGGCCGGTGCTGAGCCTGCAGGCAATCATCGTCCCAGTCTGCTTCGAGCATGGCCGCCAGGTCCTGCGACGACACGGCGTGTTGCGGCGGTTGCGCGGCTTCCGGAGGGTTGCTGACCCGTCGCAACGGCGCGCGCTTGCCTGTTGCTGCGGGGGTTTCTGATGGGTTGACCATGGCTGGAGGCTCGGTTTGGCGAATCTCCAGCGCGTTATGTGGTGCGCGGGCGTTGGCGCGTTGGTTAGGACCAGGCTGAGGTTTCTGCGTCGTAACTTTCGACTGGCGAGTCCTGCCAGCTGCGAAACTCTGCATGACTGGTCGTCTGCGTTTCCAGGTCATCGGAATCAACGGCGCAGCTTGTTCTGCTTGACACGCCATGCGCTCTGGTGCGTCCCGGCGTGCCGTCTTCGCAGCCATAACGGGCGGTGCTTCGATCTCCTGCATGTCCTGATGCGAGAGGTTGAAGTCCTGCCCCCAGAAGAAAGGCATGGCATCGCCCGCATCTGCCTGGACCAGAGTGAGACGATTCTGCTTGGGGCCCTGTTTCTTTCTGGCGCCACCTGAGCCTGCTCGGTGGACAGCCTCGCCTCGTAGGGCAGGCTCGGCGCCGAAGTCGTGGACTTTCGAAAACAACCTGGTCCTTCCAACAGCTCTCTTTGAAGTTGCGTGCCACGTGGACCTCCTAGTGTCCCGGATCCTCCGAATTTCT